CACACACACACACACTCACACACACACACACACACTCACACACACACACACACACTCACACACACACACACACACTCACACACACACACACACACTCACACACACACACACACACTCACACACACACACACACACTCACACACACACACTTTATACGGATACACAATGATGACCAAAACTGTAAGTTAAAAAAATTTTTTTAAATAGTAATACAAAATTTGTTTTCTTTCCCCAGTCACTGAAAAAGAAGACTAGAAGCATGATAAGGAGTGGCTGGTGAGTGACAGCAGCCGGGGAGGGCTGTTTGGTTTGGTGAAGATGCCTTATTTCCACTCAGGAACCGGAGCTCTCAGGCTCCCCCTAGAGGAATGAAGAGGAATATCAGTGGGGACCACAGGTGGAAGAAGTGTGTGTGGCTCCCCCTGGTGGCCATGGGTGGTGTGCTGCAGTGGCCAGGGCGGGCTCTCTAAGTTAAAGAGAAAAAATCTTCAAGGCTTTTAAGAAAGAAGTGTTACAGAAACAGGGGAACTTACTGTTTTGGGCCACATACCATCACAATTTTAGTAACAGAGGAGCGATTTTAAAAAGCTAATTCCAGACTTCTTCAGACCACACATTCTAAAAAGCGCAGTATAACCCTTGCAATGGCACCTACATTACTCTGCCATCATTTAGCCCATTACTCGGAAATCCTTGAGAGAGTATATAGCCACCCAAAGGATGCACACTCCCACCTCAAGGACATTTATTTGCTCAACTGTGTTTATAGCAGCATTATTCATAATAACCAGAACCTGGAAACAACCTAGATGCCCCTCAACTGAAGAATGGATAAAGAAAACGTGATACATTTACACAGTAGAGTACTACTCAGCAGTAAAAAACAATGACATCGTGAAATTTGCAGGCAGATGGATGGAACTAGAAAAAATTCCTAAGTGAGGGAACCCAAACCCAGGAAGACAAACATGGTAAGTAAATGTTAGATATAAAGCAAAGGATAACCAACCTACAATCCACAACCCCAGAGAAGCTAGGTAAAAAAAAAGAGGACCCTAAGAGGGACAGGCATGGAGAGCCCCAGGAAGGGGAGATAGATAAGGGCCAACTGGAGGGAGGTAGAAGAGAGAGGGTGGGGGGTGGGAATATGAGGGATGGAGATGCCCAAGTCGGGGGAGGGACAGAGATGTCTTGATAGAGGGAACCATTATGGGGTCAGGGAGAAACCTGGTACTAGGGAAATTCTCAGAAATCCTCAAGGATGACCCCAGCTAAAACTAGCAATAGTGGAGAGGGTGCGTGACCTGGCCTTCCCGTATAATCAGATTAGTGACACACTAATTGTCATCATAGAACCTACTGCATCCAGTAACTGATGGAAGCAGATGCAGTGACCCACAGCCAAGCACCGGGCTGAGCTCCTGGAGTTCAGCTGAAGAGAGGGAGGAGGGGCCATATGAGCAAGGGGAGGTCAAGGTCATGAGTGGGAAAACCACAGAGGGAGCTGACCCAAGCTATTGGGAGCTCACAGACTGACAGCTGGGGACCCTGCATGGGACCAAAAGTAGACCCTCTGAAAGTGGGTGACAGTTATATGGCTTGATCTATTGTGGGGGTGCCAGCTGGCAGTGAGACCAGGACATACCCTGGGTGCGTGGGCTTTTTGGAGCCCATTCCCTATGGTGAGACGCCTTACTCAGCCTTGATACAGAGGGGCCGGGGCTTGGTCACTCCTCAACTTGGTATGCCAGACTGTGTTGACTCCCCAAGGGAG